GTATGATCCTGTAGCACATCTAGATTAGTTTAATCCCAAGGAACCCTGTCTGCATCCTTCAGGAACTCTCCCCAGTGCAAGTCAAACAGCAAATAGTATGAGCAGGGGATTAGTTTCAAAAGTACACTCCTGAGTTATCTTGCTAAGCAGGTGCATCTGCAGCGTTGGTGTTGATGGCATATCCTGGCTGCTCAGGGAAGGGTCATGTGCACAGAGGGGACGTAATCTCCTCTTCCTTCTCTTTGGGCACCTCTGCTGCTCTTTTGGTGGAAATTGAGCTCTCAAGTTTGCTGGTTGAGCAAACTGAAGGCCTGAATGGATAATTTTGGCTGTGAAGAAAAAATTTATGGCCTCTGCATCCTCTCTCTTTCTCTGTTGGGAGGTGGCAGCAAGCCCAACAGAAGCAGTTCAGGGGCTGGACCAGTCTCCAAGCTAGATGCTGGACCACACTACTTTGGAAGGCAGGGGAAAAGCGAGAGTTGTGAAGTATTACCAGTCTCTTCCCAGTGCTCTATACATAAAGTCATACAAATTTCAGCTCTCTTTTCACTCTCAAAGAGCGTGTGTGAAAGAAATCTTCCACACCTTCCATTCACACTGAGGGAAAAAAAAAGAAAAGATGACTATATGACTATGAAAGGAAACAGTTCCACTGGTATGCACACTGTTTTAATAGGAGTCACAATTAAAAATCTTGACCTGGAACTTTGCATGTGATTCATTCATTGTAATCTGCCATGTGTGTGTGTATGTATGCCTAGGCACTAGTATTATCTCCCTTAAATAAGATTCTGTTTTGCATGGGCAATTTAGACATCTGAGCTGCAGAAAGAAACATTAGACGAAATCAGTGGAAACTTTAATCATATGGATATAAGCTCCAAAGGTCTAAACTGAAAGCAACCATTCAATTTTAATGAATATGAAAAACAGTATGTTCCAGAAGAGTGCCCAATGGAAAGACCAACTTCTTTCCTTCTATTTCATAGAAGAAAAGGGGAAGAGAGTAATACAAACTTCTTTCTAGCTAACCACATGTTTCCATAATCAGAACCACACTGTGATTCTGATTGTTTTGATTAATCTCCCAAGTACTTTCTTTTGCACTGCAGTTGTCCCACATCCTCACACGCATTTCTACAAGAGACAAGTTGCAGGGATACACAACTAGTGTAGCATCCCCTCTCCTTTTCCCACTATCTGCTTTCATTGGAGGTAATCAAGTAAGACATTCTCAGGCTTGAATGCTTATTCATTATACCTGTCCTTCAGGAATTTCCAAGAAGTCATTATTAACACATATTATAGACTACAACTTTTTTTTTTTTATTTGATGGTCTCAGAGGACTGTGTGATTCTTAATCAGAGTTATGGCTCCAGCCTGCTCCCTATAATGACTCTCTATATAGCCATGTTTACTTTTTAAAAGCGTTTTAAAAAATACCAATTTAGGAATTCTAAGATAACAATGACTGCAAAATTTCTTGGGGAAAAATTATCCAGTCCTATGCCATCTTCTCATCACACGGCCCTCCCAAGGAAGGAAAAAAACCTTTGGTGTTATTTCTTTTTACAACCTTCAGTACTTTTTTTTTTTTTTTAAAGCCTTCTAACCTGGAGAAAATCCTGCCCTGAAAGAAAAAAAAAAAAAGAGTACATGGGTTCCCTGCCCCACCTGCTGTTGCGGGGGGCCGGCAGTGGTGCAGGGAGTCGGGAGCTCGGCACCTCTGTAGGAGCAGCTCCCAGAGCTGCCGGTGGCACCAGGGCAGACCAGCCTCTTACTGCAACTGGGAAACGGCATCTTATGTTTCTATGTGCATCCTGTGCTCTGTGCTGTCGTCAACATCAAATAGAAACAGGTATCGCCGATACACATTTTCATGCTACTGGCTTTCCATGGTGTATTAAAAGGTTTTATAGAAATCATTCCCCTGCCTTTCTGTTCCCCTACCGGACCTTAGAGGAAATAGTCTGTTACCATGGAGAGGAGGAAGGGAAGCCCTTATTATAAAACTATTGCTTCTAAAACATGATTAAAGAAAATCAGAAACCACAAATTCTTGACATTTCTCAGACATCAATCACCCTATAAGCAGAGGGGGTCTTTTTTTTTTTTTTCTCCAGACAATATTTTACAATTAACAGTGTTCCTTAGCTAGCCAGCTAGTCTTTCACTTCTTTCACGGGGGGAAAAAAAATCATACTGACATAATCCAATTCATTTCCTACTGGATTCCTCTGAAAATGTGAGCTAAAGTTTCAAAAAAGGATGTGCAGCATTTCTCTCCATAAGATACCTTCAGAGTCAGGAGCAACAGAGATATTCAAACCTAATTTAAATGAATGATGGGACTTGGCAAAATGCCATCCATGAGGAAACCCTGAACATAAAGTTTGCTCCTGCTGTGTTTCCTGTAACAGAGCTCAACGGTGACCAGCCTTACAGTGAACTTAGGTTGAATGGAAACACCAGACAACCAGCTAGAACACCTGAATATCAAACGGTCAAATGCCTTTGACCTGACTCTTTTGGGTTTTACCAATGAATTTCACCCATTCCAGGAAGAGCAGGATCAGTAGCTAGAAACCCCAGAACAAGTCTGCCAGACAGGAACTCACAGAAGGTGCAGCAGGAGAAGAGGTCCCTCAAGACGTGGGTGACCTGCTTTCAGTTGCTTTTCTGCAAAAGGAGTTCAAGTTAGCTGTCAAGCCACAAGCTACACTGAGGAAAAGTGTTTTGTCTGCTGTTGAACTCGCTGTGCTTCGCATGAAATAATTTTGTTTTCACTAAGCTGAAGAGAGGTGCAATTCTTCAGTCCCACAGCAGACATTAGTCTAATTTCTTGTTGTTTAGTGGCAGGAAGTGCTCTTACATGAGCTGCTGATTAATAACAGGGCTACAATGGGCCTGTATTCCAGACAAAGTTTGAATTGCAGCCTCGTACCTCTCCTCAGCATCTTCTCTTGCACACAACTGCCTAGTGTCAGCACGCTGGCTCCTATGGGTCCGTGAATACAAGCTCTCTCTACTGATGCTGAAGGTCTTGACTTGAGAGGACAAAAAGTTCAGCCAAATATTAGTTAGTGGACTGCTGAGACGAGAGTCAGGTCACCCTGCTTTAAAGTGTCTGCAGTAAGACCTTGGTGACTAACAGCAGCTACAGCAAACAGTGTGTCCCCAGCACTGTTAGCGGGGCATAGAGAGCTGCTCAGCTCATCGGGTGCAGATGCCTGCTTAGGCCAAATTAAATAGCTCTCAGCTCTACTGACTACACCAGGTCTTCAGTGACTCTAGTGACGGCTTAGTCAAAGAGATTATGTGTAGATAGCCGCACTAAAAATATGTGCAATAAAATGACTTTAATCCTTCCCTAAATCTGCTTTTCATCCCAAACTCAGAGATACCAACTGTCAGTAATCTTTGCAAAGTCATCTATTTTGTGTGTTTTAGGAATGGAGACTTGGGGATATACTTGGAAAATTAAGATGTGGATATGTATTTCCTAAGAGATTTTCTGAAATAATTACTAAGATGGTTTTGCTTCTTGTTTGCAGTGTGCACACATGTATATATATATGCACACACACACATATACATATTGTATACATGTAAACAAAAATGTCCTAAGTCTCTCACTTCAGCTTTTACTGTCCTATCTTAAACTGGAAAATAATGCTCATTTGCTTACTGCGTATACATATTTGAAGGCTATTAATATTTACAAAATGCATGGAGGAGCTAAGCACTGTTATCTTATTGATGACTACCAAATTGTAACTCAGCTTACATTTCATTATATTGTCTTTTGCATATGGATGGATGTTGCTTGATCGTATGCAATAGGTTTAACCTTCAAGAAGAAATACAGTAAATATCTTGCTACCGGAACCCCCCTGAATCCAAACACAGGGTATAAGGTGAAGTGAGTTGCGGCAAATGTTATGCTTGCCTCTGAGATGGTATAGAGCATTTATGGGGTTTTATATTTTACTCTGGTTTCAAGTAGCTTACCTTGGGTAACTCATTTAGTATCAAGCTTTCCAGTGCAGCCTTAATTTAAGCTGGAGGCTCTCTAATTTCAGATATTTGAACCAGGCTGTCAAAGGATCTAAGTATTGAAATGCCTTTTTACTGATTTAGTGGGAATAAGTTGCCTAAATATCTTCAAGATTCTCAGATGATACTCTAGGCACCAGAAATCTGCAGATGACATTGATATAAGCTGAATTTTTGAGTGTATGACTCCCAGCCAGTGGTGGAAAAAGTATCCGAGGCACCTGAGACGTACTAAAGGTATTTCTTGCCTACCATGTCCTCCCTGGCTGGACATTCTGGGATAGCGTTTGAAGCAGAATGGAATGTAAAAGGAACCAAACCATTTTATCAATCAATAATTGTAGTAGACCTATATTAGCAATACCTTTTAAAATTAAAATGCTCACAGAATTTAACAAGACTCGAGAAGAGACCAAAAGATCAGTTCTTCACAGGTGAACAACAGATTCTTAAAATTCTTTACTAGTGAAAGACCTTTCCTTAGACATTTACCTTCCAAGAGCTGCTGCATGGTTTTGAATGCTATGTCTCAGATCCTTTTTTATCTGACATAAGAATGCAGGAAAACAAAGGTGAATATACTAAAACCTGGACTTGCCTTTCTTTTTCTTTTTTCTGAATATTGCATGACACAGAACCTCTTTTCCTGAGTACTGCATGACACAGAGCAACAAAAATCCTCCGCCAAATTATTAAGTGTAAAAAATAACCAGAACAAATTTCTTCTAATACGTTTGTTTTGTAAAGTTAGTGACTGTGGCAAGCTGTAGCGTAAACGGGCAATACTAAATGTGGGCTCAAATCCTAGCACCTCCGAGAAATCTTTGTGATGAAGAATGCCTTCAGGCTCTCCTAGTTAGAGCTAATGGAGGAAATATTATCCACGCTCTCCTTCACATTTAGACTTATGAAAACAATTGAAATTAGCTTTTCTATACTATACCTGTACAGATGAAACTTGATAGTCCTCCATAGATGACATCATCATTGTCTGGTAATATAAAGGGACACCTCGTCTGAACCTCCAAACAGTATTGCTTGCAAGGAATTCTGTTGCTGCAGTGAAACTGTGTGACTTCAAAATACTGGGAACAGAGCCAGGCTTTGTAGACAGTCTGGAAAAAGAGAAGGAGCAGAAGTATAGATGGATGACAATAGCACTGTCATTATTAGAAGAACATACTGTACTACACACACCTACATTAACACTGCTTCTGAAAGCAAATTTTGAGAGAATATCACCTGGGTAAAACATACTCCTAACTTTTGACTATCTTCCCACTTCAGAAATGAAAACTCCAGCCAAGTCACCTAAAAGCAACAGTTAGTCAGGACTAGGCTTATCCTATTATTTTATCTTAGTTTGTAAACAGATAATGTCTCTTAGATGCACCTTTTCATTAGACACGTGCACGCACACCACACACCACTGTCAGTGTACCTTATCATATACAAACTGAGATCCTAACCTCATTTGAAGCTGGTTTGGGAAAAACATATGAAAGTAAGTGCAAGAAAGAGCTTACATCTGGGCTCAAGCCAGCTCTGTTCTTTATATCATCTAGAGCTAAGCTACCAGGTCGCAATAGATGGTGCTGCTTCCCTTCAAAAAAACCCTTATCCGATCCACAGTATTAAAACACACATTAGGGTTCCTGAACGTCAACAGCTGTAGACTAGGGGATAAATCTGCAATAGTGAGGACCAATGTCTACATTTGGGAACTAAAAGGAACATATTAAAGGTGCTGTCATCTGATGCTGTGTAGGACCTTTGAATATTACAATTATTATTACCGTTATTCATACAGAAAAGCAAAATAAACACGTGGATTTCAGTTTCTTTTGCCTTTCTCTTCTGAGCAATGACCTTTGTCATGAGAATTATACTAGCCTTTTGGACACAGAAAAGTTTCACATGTGATCGTGCAAAAAATAGATTAAACACCAGGCTATGAAAGTGATGAAAAACCTGTATGACTGAGTACGGAGAGGTTTGCTTGTTTCCCATTGTATTTTCCACATATCTGTTTCAAAGTACATTATTTACTGGCTAGATACTTGCTATCTATCTAGGTTGTTATACAACAAAAATTTCCTTTTTGTATTCAGTCAGAATATCTGAAAAGTTTAGTAACTACCTTTCCTTTATCACAGGCTGAAAAGCAATATATCAGATGATTATTTTCCTTTTTCCTAGACCTATTTTTAATAAAAAAGCAAACATAGATTAAATTTTTAAGCACTGAAAATTCAAAAACTGACACCTGAAAAGAGCAACCTAGCTGAGAGTTTGGTTTGATTTCAGTATGCTTCATCTCATCAGTTATAATTTTTATTAGTGTCAGTAGCAGCTTAAATTGTATAATTAACTTCAATGTATTAGTCCCAGAATCACAAAACTTTTATCTTAGCTTGTTTGCAATGGTGGCAGATATGGGTAAGGTTGCTAGGTGATAAAATGAAACCTTTATCACTAATCTATGGTTTGTGATTGTCTCTTTATAGTAGCTTTTGCCTACTGCATTCTGCAGAACACGATTTTTTTCTTTACAAATTCAATTTTAAATGTTTACAAAGGTTTCTCATCTACAGTAAATGATTAATGAGAAGGAAGACTAGGCAATGTGTGTACTTTTTGTTCTTAAACAAAATTCTAAACAACAAGTGGTTTTCCCAATGTTGACTATGTCCCCTATCTAAGTTTTAATGCTTCAGTTTCTGTATTGACACTTGCAACAATAAGAGAAATACAGTAATTGGTTTTATATTTTTAATTAGTCAGAGAGCATAGCCTATTGGTTGGAGACAGGAATGTTGGCTCTCACAACAGATAAATATTCGCAGATGTTCCTTCCTGATCACTAATACTGTAGATCCATTCAGTATGAATCCTCATTTACTCTTCCTAGAATAGATCTAAGAGTAGTAAGTTGGTTTGTGAATCATATCTGAAAATGTACATCAGTTTATAGGGAGTGTATTGAACAGCACACCATACATGGTAACAAGAAGACAAGCAAACCCATGTGTCTACTTAAGCAAGACAGGAAATAAACGTTTATTTAAGAACAGAAGTAAATAATGCAATCATAGGCTTCTCTGAACGTATTTATATATCCAATATCAGTTCATACACATCATCTTCCTTCTCTGATTCACAAGTCCTCCGCTTTGGCTCAAAATTTGAACTCTTGTCCGTATTTTTGAAGAATGCATGAGTATAGCTGTTCCTGAGATCTATTTCTCACATACATGTCTCCCACTCTGTACCTGTTTTACTGCAGCCCCCTTCAACCTTGTCTGCAGTCTATATTGAGATTTTTAATATGCTGGTCCCATTTTGCTGTTTTGGCCAGTAAGGCTACATGGAAACCAAGATTTTCAGAGTTCTGTCTGGATATGAACTTAGGTCATAGCCCACTTCAGGGTGAGATGCTGATACTTATAATCCTTCCTATCCCCACGCTCTGGTTTATTCAAAAGAAACTTCAAGTTTGTGGGACAAGATACCTCTGCAGAACACTGTAAGATGTCCAAGACTTAGTAGGTGAAACCCTCAGAGTGTCCTGAAAACTAGCCTAGAGGATAGGAGATGCTGGTCTTCAGCCCTTCCCACAAAGATCCTCCATGTTTCCAGGTCTTTTTCAGGCCTGAGAACTGACATAAATAAGTCTCAGCAGTTGGAGGAGTGAACATCATGAAAAAGCACCAATTTAACACTTGAATACTTATAGTAGAGCTGAGGTGAAATTTAAAGTCACATCTGGATAAGGAAAGAAAAAGATCAAATCCAGATTTGAGCACTAGAGAAGGTTCAGCCATAGTGCCTAGCTGTTAGCCCACTGCCTCCAGAGCTTTGGCTGTGCTAACTCATATATTTCCAGACAGTGTCCAGCCATCCTCTGGGAAAAGGCATATTCCAAGCACTGCATCCAGTAAGCAGTTTTGATATGGCCATGCTCTTCTTTGGAGAAAAAGGAAAAAATATAGATGTCTGCAGATGAGCTGTGCTAGGTCAGCTGGTAGACCAGAGAGTAGTCCCTCTCCACTCTCACTTAACAGTACAGATGTGATTTAAGTGCCTACTTTCCCAACAAAGACCCCAAATAATCTGTCCTACCCTTCTTGGGCATCTTAGACTTTCTAGGCACCAAAGATTTTACACAGAAATCTTGCTTTCGTGACTGAGGATGTGCTACCCAAGAGAGACTACAAAAGCATAAGAGCTGAGCTCATATTTGTGCATACTACTCACTGCTCAGCAGCCTTTGCAAGAGTCCCACAGCTGACCCAGCTGAGTAAGTAGACCCAGGGCAGTCCAAAGTCTTTTCTTTGTTTCAATGATAGTGAAAGGTGACTTCTTTAGCTTAAATATTAGAAGCCTGTGATTTGGAACTGAAATGTTTTGAAATATCTTGAAATTTTCCTAATAGCGAAGCAGACATATGGCCTTTGATCAGTCAGTATTTCTTCTTATATGCAGGAAAATACAGGTTTTGGTTGGTTGGGAATTCTGCTGTATCTCATAGCGAATCCCAAATGCCAATTTCCAGAGTTTTAAAACATGCACTGTATAACAAGGCCTGAAGCTATCAATGAAAATACTTTCTGCTTTTCCTGTAATGAAACATTGTTTCTGCCTGGCTTCTCCCCAACACCCCATGCCCCACCCCTTATTTCACATCTGTTCTGAATTGCATGATATCAGTTGCTGAGCTGAATTGATCCCTGGGTATCTGTGAAAAATAAAGGCAAGATTCCCACACTGTCTTTTAAAAACTGAAGAAAGGATATTTTTTATTAAAATATAAAATATTCCTGCCATTTTTTCCACATCAATGCTTCATCCTTGCAACCTAGCAACCTAGCAAACAATACATCCTCCTCTCAAGCATTAACAGAATATTCTCTTTCTTTCTCACATAAACTATGGCATAATGAGACACAAAAATAACTCTCATTTCTGGAATATTTCTCTTAAGAAGAAATATTTCTCTTAAGTGTAACTCAACTGCATGTATAGGGAGTATTTAATGCAGCTTCACCAAATTAGCTGTCACTGACAAAGGGTATAGAAGATCTGGTTTGAGGACATTGGTACAATAGTATCTTTGTCTTCCTGTGGTGGCATAATCTCTGCCAAAATACAGCTTTCCTTCTTAAGCAGATGTTATTGCTCCAAACCAAAATAAGCAAAAAACCCAAACAAACCACTAAATTTAGAATGATAACACCTCTTGTAACCAACCGTTAGCTACTACCTCTCATGTGAAAAAGGTCATGTCTAAGCATCAACAGGTTTTGTGTGTGCGTGGTCATAGGGGACAGGGTCAATCTGCCTCATAAAGCCCAGGAAAATGTTCACAAGTGAGCAAAGTGCCTCACTACCAGGTTTCCAAGACTCTTTTCTACAGTCTAAAGCTTAAAGAGTCTGTATTGCAAATGGTAGCTGATATGAATTGCTCTGAACAGGAAAATTTGTAAAAGTGGGAGCCAATGAAAAATTCATAATTGCATATATTTATACACCGTTTTCCCTTATCTGCCATATGTTTTCTGTTTTTTATTTCAGGATGGTATGCATTCACTGCAGTTCTAAGTGATATTATGACACTGTATTCTGGCTGCTTCTTTCATTTTATTCTCTGCACTTATATTGGGTTTTCTCTGAAGACAGAGAAAAGATGGAAGGTGGATGTGAGGCAAAGACCACGTGTTAAATAGCCAGAGGGCAGGAAAATCCTCCAGATTTTCCATAAAGTAAAGTTTCCTAGAACAAAATTCTTGGTCCTTCAAAACATGCACCTTCTCAAGATTCAAGTCACTAAACCAAATGTTTTGGACTACATTTCAAGGAAAGCAAAGAGGGGCTGTGGAAGTGACACACAAGGCTTTCACTTTAATATTTCCTCAGTTAAAGAAAACTAAAAACTAACTCCCAACATGAACTGAATTAAACTGGTTTGTAAGATTGGGAAAGATACATAAATTATAGAGAAAATATAAGAATACACAATTATCAATAGGTTTTGAAGAAACAAGAGGAAATCTAGTGATTTTCACAAAAAAATCAGTACTTCAGAAGACAAAACCATAATTTTTATTAATAGATA